TTCCTGAAGGGATTCTTGTGAAGAGAATAACTAGTAAAAGTGAGATTTCAAAAATAAGAATATCAGTTTCTTTAAATACAGCATTCAACAGTTAATGTTAACAGTTAATGTTAAATACTGGAAAGCACAAACTTGTATATATGTCTGTAGAAAGGAACTAGAAGCCAAAGTGGCAAAATCTTCCAAATAAAATTGGAGTAAGGCTGTCATATGTCACACCAATTAAGTAGCCACTTGGGATACATATATCCTGTAATGAAATGACTGATTTCTTTAAAAGATTTACATATATGTTTGAAAGTCAGGTTACAGAGAGAGAGGGAGAGACATAAAGAGACTGGTCTTCCATCTGGTGGTTCACTCCCTAGGTGGCCACAATGGCCTGGACTGAGTCAGGCCCGAAGTGAGAAGTCAGGAGCTTTATCAAGGTCTTCCACATGGGTGGCCGAAATCTCACTTCTTAGACACATACTTCCGGTTATATGTCCACAAAAATTGAAACCAGGATGTTGAAGAGATAGTGTATGCCTGTGTACAGTATGGTATTATACACAATAGTTAAGATCTGGAAGCAATCTGTCTATCAATGGATGAATGGATAAAGAAAATGTGATATGAGTATACATAAGCTGGGTCTTCAAAAAATTCATGGAAATTTCTATTATTTTGTGCCAAAATTAATATATATTTTAATTCCACATTTTCATGAATTATTTGAAGATGATGATGATGATAATGATGATAAAGATGATGACTTTGATGATGAGGAGACTGAAGAAAAACCTCCAGTGAAGAAATCTATATGAGATACCCCAGCCAAAAATGCACAAAATTCAAACCAGAATGGGAAAGGCTCAAAACCATCAATACCAAGATCCTTCAAAAAACAGGAAAAAGAATCCCTAAACATCAGAAGGACCTGGTTATGTAGAAGACATTAAAGCAAAAATGCAAACAAGTAAGAAAAAGGTGGTCTTCTTCCCAAAATAGAAGCCAAATTAATTAATTATGTGAAGAATCACTTCCGGATGACTGACCAGGAGGATTTTCAAGATCTTTGCCAGCGGAGGAAGTCTATTTCAAAAAATAGCTTAAACAGTTTAAACAGTTTGTTAAAATTTCCCATCTTATTTCATTTCTGTAACAGTTGCTATCTTACTGTCCTTTTTATAATGTAGAGTAAGCACTTTCCCTATCGTGTTTCAAAAATATCGTCCAGCACTCTTCTCTGAAGGTAGGAGAGAACATCCACTTTGCTTATGGCCATGTCCAAATACTGCTGGAGTCTAGGGTCACAAAAGGCTTCCATAACATTGACAGCCCATGGCAAGAACCTCAGATGATCACTGATGTCATAAAAAAGAATGTTAATTGTTAAGGAACGAAAAAAAATTGTTAAGGAACAACAGAAGTCACTGTGCGCCTGCTCCCCATGGAGGACCGCTGTCCCTATTGAATTGTAATGTGAGAATCAACTGCAAATTCTCTCCCCAAACTGTACTCTATATGTTCTGTGTGTGGGTGGGTGCAAATTGTTGAAGTCTATGATTAGCATGGAGTTGGTCATCTGTATATGCAGTCATACTAAAAATGAACCATAATGAAGGAGATGGGAGAGGGAGAGGGAGAGGGATGTGGGATAGAAGCTGGGGAGGGGGTATGGGGGGAAAGAACTACTATATTCCTAACGTTGTATCTATGTAAAATGCATTCATTAAATTAAAAAAAAATCTTTCCACACATAAAAAAAGAAAAATATTGTCCAGGTTCCATTGCCAACAATGTGTTGTCCAAAATACCTTTTTAGTTTTTAAAGACAGAACTCCACTCTTTGCTTGATTTTAAGTATGTATAGAATGTTATGACATGACACAGTAGTAGCAGTGATTAGACGTGGAAATGGTAGGGAAACAAATACATACATGTGAAATAAATTCAGTATTTTAATAAAGTTTAAAAAAAAGAAGAACAAGGAAATCCTGGCATTTAGCTCAACATGGATGAACCTGGAGGACATTGTACTAACTGAAAAAAGCCAGCCACAAAAAGACAAATACTTCATGATCTCACTTACATGTGTATTCTATAAAGTTGAAACTGAGGAAGGGAGAAGAATGGTGGTTGGCAAAAGCTGAAAGTCGTGGGATGTGGAAAACTGTTGGCCAAAGGTACAGTTTCAATTATTTGGAAGAGTAAGTCCTAGAAATCTAATACGTAGCACTGACTTTGTTGATTGCACAGTGATGTCTACTTGAAATCTGCTAAAAGAATAGATCTTAGATATTCTAATCACACAAAAATGGTAATTATGTATGGTGATGATATGTTAATTAACCTGATTGTGATAATCATTTTATGATTTATTTGTATATAAACATAATTTTGTATACTGTAAATACAATTCTATGTCGATTATACCTCAATGAAATGAAAAAGTATCAGCTATTTCTTGCATGAGTTATCTGTATTCCCATGTTTATAGCAGCTCAATTCACAATAGCTAAAATATGGAATAAACCAAGATATACATCAACTAATGACTGAATAAAGAAATTGTGGGGGCCAGTGCTGTGGTGCAGCAGCTAAAGCTGCACCCTGTGGCACCAGCATTCCATATGGGCACTAGTTCGAATCCCAGCTGCTCCAATTCCAATCCATGTCCCTGAAAATGCCTTTGGGAAAGCAGCGAAAGATGGCCCATGTACTTGGGCCCCTGTATCCACTTGGGAGGCCCAGGAGAAGCTTTTGGCTCCTGGCTTCAGATCAGCCCAGGTTTGGCTGTTGTGGCCATTTGAGGAGTGAACCCAGTGGATGGAAGATCTCTCTCTCTCTCTCTCTCTCTCTCTCTCTCTCTCTCTTTCTCTCTCCCTCCCTCCCTCCCTCCCTCCCTCCCTCCCTCCCTCTCTCCATCCTTCCCTCTCTCCCTCCCTCCCTCCCCACCCTTTGTAACTCTGCCTTTCAAACCAATAAATAAATCTTACAGAAAAAGAAATTCTGGTATATACACATGATGGGATACTACTCAGTCATAAAAAGAATGAATGCTGTCTTTTTCAATAAATGAATATAGCTTCTTTCATTTAGCATAATCTTTTGAGGTTCTTCCTGTAACCACTAATTATTTGTCAAACTATGGTTGGCTATTCTACATTTTGTTTATCTATCCACTACTTGGTGGACACTAGGATTGTTTCTTTTTCTTGGTCTACTATGGTTATTACTGCTATGAACATTCACAAAAAAATATTTATGCACATATATTGTTAATTTATCTTTGATTCATATCAAATGTGAGGAACTGCTGAGACACATGGTAATGAATTCATCTTTATTTTTCTGATTTTCCTAATTTTTACTTATTTAATATAGAGGTAAAGAGATAAAAAGAGAGTACCAACCACTGGTTTATTCCTCAAATGCCCATAACATATGGGGAGCCAAAGCCAGGAGCTAGAAACTCAACCCACGTCTTCCATGTGAGTAGCAGGAACCCACTTGCACCATCACTACTGCCTCCCAGAGTCTTTGTTACTAGAAAGCTGGTATTACACATTGGAGCTGGGTATTGAACCCAGGTACTCCACTGTGGGATGTGGTCTTCTTAACCACCATTTTTCCCCGCTAGGTTAAATTTCTTCCTCTATTTCATCTTTTTGAGAAATTGTGACTCTTTTCCAAAGTGACTGGACAATTTTGCATATCCACCAACAATGATTGAAGGTGCTTATTTCTCCACATTCATACACACACACACACACACACACACACACACACAAAAAAAAGCTGAGAGAATTTATCATCACCAGACCTGTCTTGCAAGAGAGTTCTTCAAACTGAAAGAAACACTAACAAGTAAGGTGAAAATATCAGGAAATATAAGATTTACTGGTAACAGGAACCAAACAACCAATTTCAGAATGCTTTAATATTTGTAAATATGGTATATAAATGACTTATATCTTGAGTGTGAAGGTTTTAAAAATTATAATTACTACATTAAATTGCTAAGAGAAGGCAATATAGCTATATAAAAGAGGTAAAATAAAGGATGGGGCACAACTGTAGAATTCCTTATTGGTATTTCTGATTTCTTTGCTTTTTGTCCCTTTCCCTATATTTATATTCAATGTTGTTATTATCATCCCAAAATAGCTTGTTACAACTAAAAGAACTTTTTTGTAAGCTTCATGGATACCACATGGCAAAAATCTATAATAGGCTTACCAAAGCTGATAAACATGGAGTGAAAGTATTCTACTACAGAAAAATCACTTAATCACAAATGAAGAGTGTACAAGGTAGAGAAAGAAAAAAATGAACTACAATAAAAACACAAAACTAGTATTAAAATAACAATTGTAAAACCTCTCCTACCAATTATTTTAAGGGAAAATGGACTAAATACAGTAGGAGAAAAATAACAATTATAGATATAAATACATGCAATATTGGAGTATATAAGTACATAGAGCAAATATGAATAGACACACATGGAGAGATAATCTCTCATATAGTAATAGTAGGAGATTTTTATCACACTTTCAGAAATGGACAAATCATTCAGACAGAAAATCCACAAATAAACAGCACAGCTAAATTGCAACTGAGATCAACTGGACCTGATATTCATTTATAGAACACGCTATGCAACAGTTACAGGTAACACAATCATCTCAACAGAATATGGAACATTCTCCAGCATAGATCATATTATCATATAAAAAGCTTTAAAATGTAAAAGAATAAAAATTATATTGAATATCTTTTATGACCATAATGCAATAAAACTAGAAATTAATAACAAGAAGACCAGTGGAAATTTCATAAATATATTGAAATAAAACAACATATTGCTAAAAAACTAATGGCTCAAAGGAAAAATAAGGAAGAAAATTTAAAAATGCCTTACAACAAATGAAAATATTAACACAACATACTGAAACCTATAGGACATAGCAAATGCAGTAGTAAGAGAGAAGTTAATAGCAATTAATGCTTACATCAAAGTGTAGAAAGGTCTCATCAATTTGTCACTGGACTTCAAGGACCTAGAAAAAGAAGAACAAATCAAATCCAAATTGGCAGAAGCAATGAAACAGTAACCCTCAGAGCACAAATATATGAGAAAGAAATTTTAAGAAATATAACAAAACTCAATGAAATGAGGAATTGGTTATTTGGAAGACAAACAAAATTGAAAAACCATTAGCTAGACTAAGAAAAAAAGGGAGATGATGCAAATAAATAAAATCGGAGATGAAAATGAAGACATTACAACTGACATCACAGAAATATAAAGCATTGTTAGAGATTAATGTTAACAATTATATACAAACAAATTCAATAACCCAGAAGTTCTAAAGAGACAAATTTTTGGACATATATACCTTACCAAGAGTGAATCATGAATAAACAGAATATCCCACATAGCTGAATAACAAGGAGCAAAGCTGAAACACTGATAAAGTTTCCTGTTAAAGGAAAGAATGGGCCATCAAACAAGGCAGTACCTTTCTCTGAAGGGAGGAGAGAACTTCCACTTTGAATATGGCCTTGTCTAAACAAGATCGGAGTTGCTGAACTCAAGAGGCTTCCATAGCCTTGGCAGCTCACGACAAGAGCCTCGGGTGATTACTGACGGAATAAATAAGAGTGTCAATTGTTAAATCAACAATGGGAGTCACTGTGCACCTGCTCCCCATGTAGGACCTCTGTCCTTAATGTGTTGTACTATGCGAATTAATGGTAAAACTACTACCCAAAATGTACTTTATACTTCGTGTGTCTTTGTGGGTGTAGTCTGTTGAAATCTACTTAGTAAATACTAAGTTGATCTTCTGTATATAAAGATAATTGAAAATGAATCGTGATGAAGCATGGGCTGGAAGAGGAAGTGGGAGATGGAATGGTTGCGGGTGGGAGGGAGGTTATGGGGGGAAAGCCTCTATACTTCAAAAGTTGCAATTTGAAAATTTATATTTATTAAATAAATTTAAAAATAAAATAAAATATGATAATTTACATACCAAAGAAAAGAAAAACCTAGGTCTGGCTCTGTGTCATAGCGGGTAAAGCCACCACTGCAGTGCTGGCATCCCATATGGGTGCCAATTTGAGTCTCGGCTATTCCACTTCCAGTGCAGCTCTCTGCTATGTCCTGGGAAAGCAGTAGAAAATGGCCCAAGTCCTTGGGCCCCTGCACCCAGCTGGGGCACCTAGAACCTGGAAGAAGCTCCTGGCTCCCAGCTTCAGATTGACTCAGCTCCATTCATTTCAGCCATCTGGGGAGGGATCCAACAGATGGAAGACCTCTCTCTCTCCCTCTCTCTCCCTTCTCTTTCTCTCCCTCCCTCCCTCCCTCTGCCTCTCTGTAATGCTGCCTTTCAAATAAATGAATAAATAAATCTTTTATAAAACGAAAACCCTAGGACAGGAGAGTTTCACCTCTAAATTAAACCAATTAACAACTCTTGTTAAATTATTTTTGAAATAGAAGAGGAAGGAATTTTTCCACAATTATTCTATGAGGCCAGCATAACCTTGATACTCAAACCAAACCAGGATACACACACAAAAAGAAAGACATTGGCAAATATTCTAGATGGACACAGATTTAAAAATGCTCAATAAAATATTACCACATTGAATCCAGCCTACAGAATAGGAGAAAATACTTGCTAGTCATAAATCAGCCAAGTGATTAATATCAAAAATAACTAGGGAACTCAAATCATTAAATAGCAAAATCTTGAATAATCAAATTTTAAAGTTGGACAGTAAATATAAACAGATATCTATCAAAGAAAGACATAAACATGGCCAACATGTATAAGAAGAAATATTCAGCATCACTAATAATCAGGAAAATGCAAATCAAAAGCACAATGAGATATCACCTCACTCCAGGAAGATTGTCTATTATCAAAAAATCCATAGATAACTAGTGTTGTTGAAGATGTGGAGAAGAGAAATTTCACACACTACTGGAGGGAATGTCAATTAGTACTGCCATGGTGGAAGACATTATGGAAGTTCTTCAAGAAGCAAAAGTGTAAATGCCATATGACCCAACAATCCCACTACTGGGTATATGTCTAAGGGAGATGAAATCAGTCTCTCAAAGAGACATTAGATTTCCCATGTTTATTGCAGCACTATTTACAATAGCTAAGAAATAGAAACAATCTAAGTACTCATTTACTGATGAATGTATAAAGAAAATGTATATATACACAATGGAATACTACTCAGCCATAAAAGAATGAAACCCTGTGAGTTCTAACACTGTGCATAGAACTAGAAGTTGCTATGTTAAATGAAAAAAAACAAACCACAGAAAGATATGATGATCAAACTCATATATGGAGTCTGAAAAAAAAGTTGCCCATTAGAAGTTACAAGTATAATGGTGCCTCCGGCTTTGTTTTTGTTGTACAAGATTGCTTTAGCTATTTGAGTTCTCCTGTGTCTCCATATGAATTTCAGCATCATTTTTTCCAGATCTGAGAAGAATGTCTTTAGTATTTTGATTGTTATCGCATTAAATGTATAAATTGCTATTGGGAGAATGGACATTTTGAAGATATTGATTCTTCCAATCCATGAGCATGGAAGATTTTTCCATTTTTTGGTATCCTCTTCTATTTCTTTCTTTAAGGTTTTGTACTTCTCATAGAGATCTTTAACGTCCTTGCTTAAGTTGATTCCAAGGTATTTGATTCTTTTGTAGCTATTGTGAATGGGATTGATCTTAGAAGTTCTTCCTCAGCCATGGCATTGCCTGTGTATACAAAGGCTGTTGATTTTTGTGCATTGATTTTATATCCTACTACTTTGCCAAAATCTTCTATGAGTTTCAATAATCTCTTAGTAGAGTTCTTTGGGTCCCCTAAATAAAGAATCATATCATATGCAAAGAGGGATAGTTTGAGTTCTTCCTTCCCAATTTTTATCCCTTTAATTTCTTTTTCTTGCCTAATAGCTCCGTCTAAAACTTCCAGAATTATATTGAATAGCAGTGGTGAGAGTGGGCATCCCTGTCTGGTACCAGATCTCAGTGGAAATGCTTCCAACTTTTCCTCATTCAATAAGATGTTGGCCATGGGTTTTTCATAAATTGCTTTGATTGTATTGAGGAATGTTCCTTCCATACCCAGTTTGCTTAGAGTTTTCATCATGAAAGGGTGTTGAATTTTATCGAATGCTTTCTCTGCATCTCTTGAGATAATCATATGGTTTTTCTTCTGCAGTCTGTTAATGTGGTGTATCACATTGATTGTTTTGCGCACACTGAACCATCCCTGCATACCAGGGATAAATCCCACTTGGTCTGGGTGGATGATCTTTCTGATGTGTTGTTGCACTCTATTGGCCAGAATTTTATTGAGGATTTTTGCATCTATGTTCATCAGGGATATTGGTCTGTAATTCTCTTTCAATGCTGCATCTTTTTCCAGCTTAGGAATTAAGGTGATGCTGGCTTCATAGAAAGAATTTGGGAGGACTCCCTCTTTTTCGATTGTTCTGGATAGTTTGAGAAGAATTGGAGTTAGTTCTTCTTTAAATGTCTGGTGGAATTCAGCAGTGAATCCATCTGGTCCTGGGCTTTTCTTTATTGGGAGGGCCTTTATTACTGTTTCAATTTCTGTCTCAGTTATGGGTCTGTTTAGGTTTTCGATGTCTTCCTGGTTCAATTTAGGTAGGTTGCATGTGTCCAGGAATCTATCCATTTCTGATAGGTTTCCCTGTTTGCTGGCATACAGGTCCTTGTAGTAATTTCTGATGATTCTTTTTATTTCTGTGGTGTCTGTTGTTACGTTTCCTTTTTCATCTCTGATTTTATTGATTTGGGTCTTTTCTCTTCCTTTTTTAGTTAGTTGGTCCAATGGTGTGTCAATTTTGTTTATTTTTCAAAAAACCAGCTCCTCATTTGGCTGATTTCTTGTAAAGTTTTTTTGGATTCAATCCTGTGGATTTGTTCTCTGATTTTAATTATTTCTCTTCTCCTACTAGATTTGGGTCTGGTTTGCTGCAGATTTTCTAGATCCTTGAGATGCATTAAAAGCTCATCTATTTGGTGCCTTTCCAATTTCTTGATGTAGGCACCTGTTGATATAAACTTTCCTCTTAACACTGCTTTGGCTGTATCCCATAAGTTTTGGTATGTTGTGCTGTTATCCTCATTTACTTCCAGAAAGTTTTTGATTTCTCTTTTGATTTCTTCTATGACCCATTGTTCATTCAGGAGCATGTTGTTCAATCTCCATGTGTTTGCATATGCTCTAGGGATTCCTGAGTTGCTAATTTCCAACTTCATTCCTTTATGGTCTGAGAAGCTACATCGTATGATTCTAATTCTTTTGAATTTGATAAGACTTGCTTTATGGCCTAGTATGACATCTGGCATTCTACGAGTCAGCTGTGTATCCCACTTCCCATGATGGATCGTTCTCTCCCTTTTTGATTCTATCAGTTAGTATTAGCCGACACTAGTATTGTTTGTGTGATCCCTTTGACTCTTAGACCTATCAGTGTGATCAATTGTGAACTGAAACTGATCACTTGGACTAGTGAGATGGCATTGGTACCCGCCACCTTGATGGGATTGTATTGGAATCCCCTGGCTCGTTTCTAACTCAATCATTTGGGGCAAGCCCGACTGAGCATGTCTAACTAGGGAATTTTTATCAGAGAGAGAAATCTGCAGTACCCACAGACTTTGAGTCTGGCCTGGAGAACTGGTGAGGGGCATTTCACACCCTTAGACTTGTGAATTGCTTCCCTCCCCTCACTTTATCAAGGCACCTGGACTCAACATGCCAAGGTAGAACACTGACCAATCTCAACCAGGCAGGCAACTGGCTATGGGGACTCCACAATTCTTTGTATGGATGGTGAGTGGATCCCCTGCTCCCTGTGTCTGTGGAAGCCCTGTGCCCTGTGACTGTGAGAATTCTGTGACTGGGCAATGAAGCTTGGAGTGTGGCTGATTCTCTGTGCAACCACTGTGTCTGGCTTCAGGGCCTCAGAGTTCCCTTAGTGAAGGGGT